TTATTATATATATATATATATATATATATATATGTTTTATAATATAATAAAAAATTTATTAATATTTTGAATGAAAATTACAGATCTGTAAATGATTTTGACACAAATGAAATAGAAAGAGATAAATTTATTAAAAGTGGAAATTGTAGTCATACTACGTTAAAATCACAGACTAATGGTTCTGTAACAGGAAAATGGAATAATATAAAAGAAAATCGAGAATCATCTTCGATTATTAATAATCAACGTGAACGAAAAACTCGTCAACTTAAAGTCACAGTTGATAATATAACTGAACAACAAAAACAACAAGATGAATATTGCCAAAGGTATATTATTATATCATTTAATGAATCTATAAAAATATTATTTTAGGTACAGTAGAACTCCATTTATATGAATCTGATGGGGGACAAGCAGTTCATGTAATCGAGTAAGTTCATATAATAGAAGTTCATCGATTACTCTCAATACTTTTAACTTTTCGTTCAAATAACCGAAGTTCAGATGAATGAATTTAATCATACATACAGCTTATTTTTTGGATTATATTGTATGTTCTTGTTACATATCACATCTTCGTCATTCATGACGTTCATATAATTGAAGTGACATAATAATAAGATAATAGCAACTTAATTCACTTAATTGGATATTGATGAAAATTTCGTTTCGATAAATGGAGTTCTATTATTATGTTTATTATGTTTATTTTATTATTATGTTTTTTATTTTTGTTTTTGTGCTAAATTTAAATCGTGTATATTTAATTTTATATTACATTAAATTTAATATCGTGTGCATTTATATTTTTTTATCTCATTTTTTTATTAAAAAATTTTGTTTAAATGAATTATTTTTTTTTTTATTAAATCAAAAAGCACAATTATTATATTATCAAGTTTTTTCTTTAGTGTAATATAATGTCATTTAAATAGGTTACTGATGTGTCGCAGGCTTGAAGCTGACATAAAACGTTTGAAATCAGATCTGCAATCCAGTCGACAACTGGAACAAGAACTTCGTTCTCAAATAAGTTCCCTACAAAGTGGAGAACGCCAAGCTAAGGGTGATATACAACAACTTCAGCATGATAATGATCAATTACAAAGCAAGTATGTATAGACAATGGTATTTCTACATTATTAAAATTAAAATAAATTTCTGCACTATTAAATATTTTTAATTATATACAAATATATCTTTATATGAACAGATTACATGGATTAGTAACAGCTCGTCAATTAGATAAACAAACAATGTGTTCGTTGGAAAAACGAATTGCTGAAGAAAGAAAACAACGTACTGCTTGTGAAGCATCTTTGGTTTCTGAAAGGCGAGCACGACGAGCTGCAGAAGAAGCACGAATCCCGCCTCCGCCTCCACCTCTTGTTAGACAAGAATGTACAGATACTTGTAAAAGTCGCAGAACACAAATGGAACAAGATCTCAAAAATTTACGACGAGAGCTTAAAACGAAAGAAGATAGGTAAGAATTTTAAAATAATAATAAATCGTATATAAAAATACAATTTTTAAAAATATTTTTTGCTAAAACTTAAACTTACGCTAAATTAATTTTTTCATAAACTAATACATTGAATGTTAGTAGTAAAATTGATAACATTTATAATTTTTTGTAAATATAATTATTATTTAAAAAATGTATAATATGTAAAATGTTATTTGATGAACTTGAAATACTGAAATTAATAATGATTAATAGATTATAAAATATTTAATGTTAATTACGATATTATTATAATATTGTAATGTTTAATATATCAATATCGATAAAATATCACGCTTCTACTTATACTTTTCTTTTTATTGGAGATTTTAATTCTATTATTATTATATCGATAATTCTATTAGGAATAGATTAGGATATAATTCTATTAGGAATTTTGTTAAGATATTTTTTTTAATAATAGTTAAAATAATTTATACATTAACAAATAAATATTTTTTTCTCAATATTATTAATTTAAAAAAAGATATGTGAATATATTTTATTCTTTTTTATTTGAAAATTTAATTTCAACATAAATGAAGAAATATATTAAGTTTAAC